CCTTCTAAAGAAATGCGAAGAGGTTTACTCTTAATCGCCAAGGTCATTCAGAACTTGGCAAATAATGTTCTCTTCGGGGCCAAGGAGCCGTACATGTATCCGCTCAACGACTTCTTGACTCAGAACATTTACAACGTGACGACATTTTTACGGGAAATATCTGTAAGAAATATATCCTCATTACTTTGTTGTTGCTAAACGTTTCGCAGGTGCTTCCAGAGAATCTTGATACATCACGGTCTGAACTGGAATCATTTGACTTCGGTTCCTGCGTTATCCTTCACCGTTTCCTGTACGAGCACCGAGATAACGTAAGGCAACGACTTATGTCTCAAGAACGAAGAGAACAAATACGTACCCCTGGCGAGCTATCTCGTGGCCGTGCGCCAGCTCTTGAACTACTTCCAGCCCTTACGACCACTTTGGGTCCACCATCGTTAGCAATCACCTGGAATCGTCCACAGATCTCTGCGAACTACTTGCCCACATACTCGAGGTTTCAACATTTTATGCTCCGTAACGCATTTCGTGACAACGGTTCTTCTATAGGATCTCGCGCCATTTATGATGGAGGGGAGACAAAGGTTTGCGCTAGAACTCTCAGGTGACATTGAAGCTGCTGACATCGATAACAGGATGGTCTTTCAATAATATTTATAATCCTTCGCCATATTGACCGAGAGTCTACCGACCATGAGTCATTGTTATTTGCTTACCTAAAGGTCAGTCACCGTCGACTTCCTCCGGACCATACTCAATGTTACAGCCCGACCCTTTCTCGAACAGTTTACTAACACTATTTTCTGTTTGAAAGCTCGCGACCCGTCTTTGGCATAAACCATTTGGTGTATTCATTGATGCAACATGCGACAACGGATCAGCTGACTATTATGATGATCTCGCGAGGAAGATTGAGCTTCTCACTCCTTCTGAAGTGACGAACAATCTGTCCAGATGCTATATATACAATATGAACAGCACCTATAGGTATGGTCGCACTCGAATCGCCAAGTTATGTACTGATAAAAATAGGAAAACCTTTCGGCGGAATCTGCGTGTGGCTGGTAAGCGTGACGCGAGCTTGTTCGAGAAATTGAATATCGAGTTACATCTCCTTGGGACCTTACAGGAACTCCGGGCGCATTTCCAGATTGATCACACCCGCTTTCCCAAGGAAATCGCCAGCGCTCCAAATGACACACGTTATACTTTCCAGCCTGTCACTAGGCTCTCAAAAACCAAAGGAAAGATCGAGGTCACTATCAAAGTTGGTAGTCAGTATGTCCAAGTTGCAACAGTGAGAAAGCAGGAAGTCCACCCTACCTATCGCCTCAATGCCATTATCAATGACATCTTCCGCCTTGGCGACGTTGACGAAGCACCAACATCTATTCCAACTGAAGACGATTCTGCTTTTGGGCTACGGGCTGACAATGGCAAAATCGTCATGTACTTTCAAAGCCCCATGAAAAATGAGATTCTCCAAACTATTCGGGGCGCTAAGGCAAAATACGGAAAGGATACCAGAACTGTAAAATCATTCGAGAGGCTCATCCGTCCACAAGACATCCCTGGCACGCTCCTGAATCTGGCCTTATTGAACCTTGCGGCGCCTGATCAGGCTCTCAGGATCGCGTCATATAACCTTCTAGGGGCCCTTTGTCAAGCTTTTAAATTCAAAGCAGCATCGAAATTCATGTGCATCAATGGTGAGCAACGACTATGACTGGCACAAGCATATTGGTCTGACGTGGCTGACACACAATCTTAGACGTGCATATACCCATGGACCCCAACCAGTTCATTGTTAATATGAGCAAGACTCTAGCCCAGGAGGAGCCGCAGCTGACGGCTGATTTCTTGAATGAATTCTTCGTCGGCTGGGAAAACTTTCCTGAGGAACAAAAGCCTTTGAGCCTTGCATACATGGCACCCTGGTTATCGAGTCTGCGGACATCACTACTTAGCGACGACAATGATAGCGAAAGGGGTAAAGAGAAGATAGCTGCTATCTTTCAGAAACTCATAGACACTACGGTGATGGATTCATCTCTTTTCATGACGCTTGAGCATACGGTGTGGCCCGCTATTTATAAAGACGAAGTCCTCTTGGACATCTTCCTAGAGGAGATCATCAAGGCTGCTCTCGCGGTTGGCCCGGATGATGACCACACACAGGCTTTAACCTCGACTATATTAGCGATCGGCACGATAACACTTCGTGGTAAGGTGATTTCTCGCCTGCGCAAAGCTTTGAATCGCTCAGTACTCCGGCCCACGCGATACCTTCCGGAGAACGCTGTCTGGGATGAAATCTGTATCTTGCTGCAATTTTGTCTCGCACTGTCGTTCGACTGTGGGGTGCAGTCCCAGCTCTATATACCGGAAATATTCCATGTCGTCACGATGCTTGCAAATACTGGCCCGGCCGATATCCGCTCATCGGTTCAGCGGTTGTTAATCAACTCTCTTCACGCCGCATGCACCTCTTTCAAACTATCTGATCATAGGCTGTCCAAGCTGCGCGGTGTACTTGACGTAATTTCAGATCCCAAAAACCAATACTTTCCCCAAGACCCAACTTCCGATGCCACCATTCAAGATGGCTGTCAAGCACTTGCCACCACAGAACAACTTGCTATATTACTCTTCGATACATGCACTATCGCTGCGCCTTCTGTTGATTTAGCAAATACGTGGCGTTCCAGATGGATGAGCCTAGTCGCCAGCACCGCGTTTCAGAACAATCCTTCAATCCAGCCACGAGCTTTCACTGTGATGGGCTGTTTAGCACGGGAGGAGATCGATGATGATCTGCTCTACCAAGTTCTCGTGGCTCTTCGTCACAGCATCACTCGCTTTGGAGAAGATGGTTCTACCGAGATGCTCATTGCTGTCGCAACTTCTTTATCTAAGATGATTGTTAAGCTGACTTCAGCATCTCGCTACGGGCTGCAGCTGTTCTGGCTTGCAATGTCACTCATCCGTCTCATGCCAACTGCACGCCTCTTTAGTTGTGCGACGCAGTTGTTGGAGGCCGTTTTGACAAACATTGGCGTCTCGGGTGAGCTAAGGAGCGAGAAAACAGCGTTATTTCTCCTTCAGGGCCGTGGCACGTTGGAGGAGGCCACTCTCCCGCTGGACGACGTTTACGGTGTCCATTTTACGCCGGACAATTTCCATTTCGCTGTCTGTGCCTGTTTAGTGCGCGGCCTCACAGACCGCTTCACGAAGCCATCTACACTACGGGTAGTATCTACGTTTCTGGAATTGACAACGGCCTCCCTCTCTGCTAAATCATCCAAGATCTCTTCTGGAGCCTTCTACCAGTCTCCGTATATGACCTTGATACAGTCACGAGTCGTAGATTCAGAAAAGGTCAAAGAATGCCTTTGGTCTGCTGGTATCAACTCGGCCTGCGTGGCCAATCTCACGCTGGATCGCAATATACGTCACGCAGAGCACATTAGAGATAAAGATCTTCTCCTTCATACCGCCATCCAACTCGTAGATTTCCAAAATTTGGAAGATGATATCCAAACACATATTTTGATGTGGCTATGCGATTTAGCGATAGAACGACCGACGGTTATCCTTCCCCTGTCAGTATTGACCCTGCTTATGAGCATAGTATTGAAAAAAATTCCTCAGCTAACAGTCATTACCAGGTGTTCGACTATTACGTCTCTTCTTGACGAAGTCCTCCTTCACGCCCAGAGACCAGAGGCAATGAAAGCAGCACATGAATTGCTTCGGATGGTGACTTCCAACCCCAAGTTTGCAGCCGCTAAGGAGGACCATGATACCCTCACTGATATCCTTGAGGATATGGGATTCGAAGGGCTTTGGCGTTCGAATTCATTGTTACAGTCTCGAGACTTTGACAAGCAACTCATAGGGCTTACGGAGAAACTGATTGAAGTGAGTTGTACTGGTCTGCTTCGCTCCTTGAAAAGCAAATGCTAATATTTATGTAGCTCATTGTTATGTGAAACCAAGTAATGAGATCTGAGGTGATGAAGTGAGGAAGAAGCTCTCCGAGCCTGTTGACCTTTCATTTTATATAGCGAGCGAGCTTTCGACTATTTACATTGGCGATACTAGACATCAATAAACACACCTTGTATATAGATGGTGACAAAAGGCGAGACAGGGGCAAGAAGCGGGGTGAACGACAGGGACCGAGGAGTAAAGGTTCATATTCAGCATTCACCTGTCCTATGTTGGGGACAGATATAGTCATAGCATGCGCGGATTAAAAAAGGGGGGAGAAAAGATGACGGATTGCATAGTGTGCGAGGATAATTATTACTTCTATGCCACAAGTCAGCATACACTGCAGTGTTCACAAACCCCGTATTTGTAGTAGGTATGTTCAATGCCAATTAGAGTTAATGGGTTCTGATTAACTATTCAGACGATCTCCCACCCCTAGAGCAATCGGATAGAGTAGAACAGGGACTATCTAGTTCCGGGCGGCGTTAAATGCCGAGATTGATATGCCAAAGATATATCTTGGCTCACGCGACAAACTCTAGTCAAGAAATGTTTCAAGATGTGCCGCTTGAGGGCCCTTCAAGCTTGCTTTGGAAAGTTTCAATAACATCGGTTCGTCTACTTTTGGCGATTTTTTGACGGCCCTCTCGCTGCTTACCCTCGAGATATGGCCATAAGATAACTGCAGATGTGATTAGGGCGCTACTTTCGCCCACATCCGCGTGCTGTTGCGTCATGTTTGTTAGTTTTAACCCTTTACATCTTTAGATATCACAAGACTTACTCATTCTGCAAAGTTAGTGAGCAAGAGAATCGCGCTAGCAGGAGAGAAGAGAACTTACGCCTTTGCCCGTCTATTCCAATCACATGGCAATCAATGTACGTGTCCAGTGATAGCAGTGGTTAGCGTGCAGTGATTCGAAACTCAATGTTTGTTGAATATCTATATTACAACTAGCAAATCTTTGGTTGTCGTCTGTTTTAGTGACGAAATTGACCTCTATTCCGAATTGGTGTAGTGGCTAACATTTGACGCTCTCAGCTGTATTCTATGATATAGAACAGTGCCGTCAAGCCCGGGGTTCGATTCCCCGATTCGGAGTATACTTTATTTTCATTTTTAGTCTTGTTTGGTCCCTTTTTCTCTCCCAAACCCTGACTAGTGGTAGCTCCGTAGATGGAATCTGGAGTCCATAGCACCATTAGGGGGAGCTGGGTCTGTGTGGTGTCATTTGCATAGAATAGCCTGAACTATAACATGGTCCCAATTTGATTGATCCCAGATACTCACTTGTCACTGATGATATGGGTCGATATACTATTACATAAGTAGCTACCTTCCGAGACAAAGCAGACTGTTATCTGAAGGACAGGGCAGGTAGGTTACAATGTCTTTATGTTGTTACACTATAGCTCACAACACGGTCATTGTTCACTGGACAGGCCAAGCCTGGATCCAAATATATAAAGCAATCGAGGGAATTGTAGATCTAGTAGATGCAGAAGGCAAGACAACTCTCCCAGCCGCCAGTTCACACTTCATTTCAACTCCTACTCTCGCAAGTAAACAACACTTTTCATCTAAAATGTGCCACTATCAACAGGGCCAGATATTTGACGCGAACAGCCAGACTTGGGAAGACATAGGGAGGATGAGGCCGGTAGTTTGTTCCACAGCTAAGAGTAAGGGCGGCACCTTTGCATCATGCGGGAGGATAGGGAAATTAGAGTTCATTCAGCTTGATTCGACTCTCAAGCCAATTCCAAAAGATGCACAAGGAAAGCCCGCGCAAGAATCTACTCGCCCCTAGAATAGCTTCAGTTTCAAAACTAACCCTTGATCATAAATGAAAGCATAAATCTAGCTCTAGATAATTCTAGATATAATTCGTGAGTACTATGTTCATTTAATCCAACATTTTCCATCGTATTTCGAAATTTATCGGGTTAATCGTTATAAAGCAAACCGATCCACGCACGGCCAAATTTATTTCCATTAGTCCATAATAGCATTCTGCTTTATAAGCATACAATGTTTTCAAAGTTTTAAAAATTTTTGTCAGATTGTAAATTGCAACATATCTTAAATCGAAGCTACTAGGTATGGCGCCGTGCGATCTGCCATAATTGCTCCTGATACAGTAGGCTCAGAAACTCTATCAGATCTTCTACCTCGCTGTTTCTAGCGTAAGGCCCTCTATAATGATACGATTGTTGGAAATTCAAGTATGGAGCGTACTGGCTCTTGTTCTTGCATGTAGGCCTCTTAATGCACGTTATAGGTGAGTCTGGCTATATCAAAAGCCTCTATATCGCATAATCCCAGGCTATCCTAGATGATCCCAGATGTGCCTTATAACAGGTACAAAGCCCCTTAATCCTAAAGAAAAAGTTTCCATGCTTTTGAAAAAGACATCATCAAAAACTGAAATATAGCCAAAGCTGATAAGTGATCATGGTGCTTAGTAACCGACGACAACACTCAGCGACACTAGTATATTAACAAATACCCTGAGATCCCATTATTTCCATCCAACAATGCCAAATTCTTGTAGTTTATATGTATGTGCAAGCGTGCTGGTAGAAGATGATCAAACGAATCCTCCTCTCCTTTTCTCTTTTTGCCTCTGTTATTTCTATAGGTTGTCAGAATTGATAGAATAGTCAGCAGGAATGGGTGTCTGTTCCAAGAACCAATGGCCAGGACAATTGAAAGCCTGAAAATTTAGGCTATGAGGATTCTGTCACAAGGCACGAGCTCATAAGCGTAGAAAAAGGGAGTCCTTTTGTATGTAACCAGATAGCGTCCATGAAGGTGTCTAGAGTCCTTCGCACAACAACAAGCGTATTTTGCCTACTCCGAGTACGGACTGCTGGCAGATGATTCAAAGCCTGCGCTTTCAGAATCAGAGACCAGGGATGGTACTGGAGACAGTCCGTCACGGGTTCTTTGTGGAGGTCGGAGTGGGCGATCAAAGTGTTCAAACGCTTCCCTTATAGCACGATCGAGGTATAACTGCTGAAGTCCAATGAGTCGCGGACAATCCAGCTTGTAGAACCAGTGATAGGACGAAGTCTGGGAATTTTCGGTAAATCCAGCATTGTGAGTTATGTATGTTTTGAAAAGATGATGATAGCTCCCTTCGTAGCTATTCATCAAGACGGTAAAACGACATACGTGCGCAATCCGAACGATAATATTCATAAAGGTGGTTAAGCAGGTCGTCATATAAGAGCTATCCATCGAGGAAATTATATGAGGAACATCTGGAAATGCTATCTTAGTTCTTATACGATCAAAATCTGGCGGCGCTGTTATATCATGGGGTTCAAATTTGGAATAACAGAAAAGACTCACTGAGAATAGGTCGTGACCCATTACGGCGATCTGCCAAAATTAGGTAAAGCGAACTCAGGTACTCAGTAGTCGGGAACACCCGAGCATAATATTGGCGACTACCCAGTTGCAGTGACTCGTGACGAGTCCAAGGGTCTCTGCGATCGGTCTGGGCTAGGTTGAGTGCCACTACAACCTTTAAGATTAGCTCTCCAAAGATAGTAACAGCATAAACTATTATATAAGAACACTTACTCATGCCCTTGATCACACCTCTATGTTCAACCTTCAGTATAACCCCAGTCATCGCATTCGGGATGCAGGATTCCATGATCGCCTGCAATGAAGATCGGTACCTCTCCCTTATAAGCGGCCATTTCTCTACAAAGTACTCCACAGGTCTCAAACGGCTAGCTTGTTTTATTGTAATATAGGAATCGGCTGCAAATTCGGCAATGGCGTCGAGGTCGGTATAATCTGCCACGGTTAAGAGGACAGGGTAGTTTTCAATGTTCCCTAAGTTAAGAGGTTGTTGAGAAAATGGCCATTCTGCACCGGCCAGCGTTTCTGTGGTATAGTTCATCTTTTGTTATTCTTGTCTCTTGGTTCTGAGAGCTAGTTGTTTACAGTAGCATTGAAAAGGCGACTTGATTATCTATAATAGGAGGGTGAGGCTGATTTTCGAAGTTGGATCCGGGTTTTATATATCAAATCATCAATAGTTACTACTATGGGAAAGAAATAAACAAAGAAGAATCGAGGGCCTAGCCGTGAAACCGTAACACAAGCAACAACAATCATATGCTTCCATATCCCGAATAGTAATACCGGAATGTCATCTGGGATACTAGAGGTCCACATATGGATAATGTTCCCTTGACAAACATGTTGGCAATTATGCTTGGTTACTGATATAGTAAATTGTGTTACTGATCCTTTTAATGTTGTTGATAGCCCTTGAGTGCTGAAGTAATGACTTGTATACACCTAGCATTTAAGGCCTTCGTCATTGAATGTTTAATATGAATAAGGAACATTCGCGAGGGCTGTGAAAGCAGGAGAATTTGATTACGAGCAGGGATCGGGTCTGTTAACGGTGAAGAGATTGGCACGTGTTTTCAAAACAACTCCCAGGGAGGAAGGGGAGATGAGGGATGCCTGTTGCTCATGACACACAATTGGCAAACAATCGATAACCAGGGCTTGCCTAGTTTCATTCCAACCTTAGAACCCTAGCCTCATCACAAAGCAATAGTCGACCAGGTCTAATGCCTTGACATTACACCTTCTTAAGATTTCATAGAGCTACTCCGAACCGACGAGAGAAATGATATAGACTACTGAGTAATTTTGAAACCCTTAGTCGGCTTATTAGCGATTCCTATTTCGTGACATGTAGCGACTTAATAGCATCCATCAAGCCACATGATTGCGTGGCCGTGTAAAAGAATAAGCCCCAGTCGCTACCTTGTAATAGGCTGGCAAAGAAGTCTGCACCCTTGAATCCCTTAGTACCAAAGACCTTTTCATGAATACTGATCTGAGAGGCCCAGATGCGAATATTATGGACGAGTAGGATAATATTAGCATGATAGTAGAGTCATTTGGAGCCCTATTTGTATGACACTACTTATATCACCCCGAACGCTCCATATTGTATTAGTCTAATTCGGTGTCATTCAACTGGCCTAAGCAGGCCCTTCCCCATCGAAGAACACCTCATCCAACAAGCTCCAGAGCACCTTTTGCCCAGCCCACTGCTCCTCAACCGTAGGCCGAATAAGCTCAGGTGGCAAGACGAACCCGTATTTTCCAATATCCCTTAACTCAATAGTGTAGGAGAACTCCGCACGGCCGATGCTATAGACATGATCGGGAGCAGCACCGGTCGTGGGGTACAGCGTGGCGCCGCTAGGTCCGAAGGTGAACGTGGTGAGATCGCTCGAGCTGTCGCGGATGGCGTCGCTCACCATCTGGGCGGCCTTGGTCCACTTGCCGAGCTCCGGCGCGTACAGCGTCTCCTTGTACCCGAAGGGTGATAGGATGTACTGCCCATAGCTGTGCCAATCGATGTAAAGCTTGATTCCAGGCCCGTCGCGGAGCTGTCGCACTAACTTGTCGAGCCCCCTGTTCTCGGGGCTGTCTGAGGGCTGCTCGCCCTTGTACGTCTGCGAGCAAGGGTTCGTCGACGCGCCTTGCGGATTGGCGTCCCACGCGAACTCCCAGTTGCGGTTAATGTCCCGTCCGTAACATGTTGAGCCATTGGGCCCGGGCTGGCGGTTCTTACGCCATAAACGCTGAGTGGTTTGTGTGTAGACGAAGCCTAGGAGTGGTCAATCTCGGCTTTTATATGAACGCATGATTGACGCTTACCATCCGGGTTGACTACTGGGATGATGTAGAAATCGTACTTGTCGATCACAGATCGAGTATCGTTGTCACCCGCGTTGTACTCGGTAACGAGCTTGTAAGTTAGATATTCGGTAACCTGTCTGGGTGAGTATAAACCAATAGATCTCACACTTCATTTTCACATACCGCGGTGCTAATCCATTCTCTGGCATGAACCGTCCCGTGATACAATATTGCCGGTTTACCAGGCCCGCCAGCGCCCCATAAGTGAATGCCGTTCAGGCTTCTGTTCTCGTATGAGTAGCCGGAAGAGATGATCTCCGAGTTACCCGGAAAGAGATCCTGTAGGCTTTGGAGGTACTTGATATGATCCTGGTAGTCGTGGTATGAGTCGAACCACGTCGGGTCCCCCG